ATTTTTATAGTATTTAAGTATTTAAATTTTCTACATTAAATTGTACAATTCTGTTTTTTTTTAAGAATAAAATTAAGTTTTTTACATCCTGTGGGTTTGGTCCAAGTGCTAGACAGATTWGTTCGGAGATGTGAAGTTGATTTCGATACTGGTTGTGTTTTTGACATTCATTGATGAATAATATTTTTTTACACTCTTAATTCATAATACTAGACAMTAGTATAATGCATATACTTATGAGTTTTAACTTACTTAAGTTGATATACTATTTGGCATTTGGTACCATTTAATTTGAACACGGGACACAACATATCCATCACGATTCACGAGCAACACGCATCCGGTGATTGTTGATTTGGCGCGGCCGGCGATTTCTGTAATATATGAAAATATTAGCGTGATAAAATCGTTTCATTTCTTGCCGCATTTCTTAGCAAACTACCAAGCTCCTTGTATCTGTYACGTTGTTTTTTACCCACTTCGGTTTCATCATCACTTCCATAAGTTCCTYCGCGATCATCGACTCCGATGTAACCATCTAGGGTTCCGACACCCACAAGAGCACACACACTTCGATCTGCCGCCTGCAGGCTTCTGGTCCGCCTGACCACTTGGCCTGCACCACAGAACGAACACGGGCTTATCACAACTCACAGGCGGTCCGATTTCACAAATGCTGGCAGCATTAAGTCCATCAGTCGTTACTCATCGCTCATTACATATGTTTTCGGTGTTCCTTCGGCGATAGCTGATCTTCAAACTCATTCTGCTGACTCTGCGTTTGTGGCTGCTGCAAGTTCTGTTATCGTCGCGACACATCGATAACGTGGCTCAGTCACCACACATGCCCATGTCCCAGGCATGGCTTACTGGTTTGACCGCCTGTCACTATTCCTCTCGTCACTCTCTCTAGGTGCAATATGTCTCAAAAAAGTTTGGCACCACTCTGATTCCGCGGTAGATAGTAAGTGACAAACCCGTTTTCCTAACAATACTACATATATAATGTCCAGCAGCGCTGAAACCAATTTATTAAAATTATGCTGATATAGGACAGCTATATGAGATAATATAAGAGAATAAAATAAATAAATATCTTATGCATATCAAAATATAACCTCTATGATACAACTTATAATTGGTCGAGTGGGTGAACATTCGATGATGAAATTTTGAACCTACAAAACATTATATATATTATTATCATAACATAAATCTACTAAAGACTATGTATTATATTATATGCATACATATTATAGGTACTTGGGTGCCACTGAAATACTGAATTAATATAATATAATATGCTAATGCGAGCTCGTCACTGTTCGTTACAGCAACGAGAGCTTGGCTGCTGGCTTCGACTGGGAAAAGGACTCTGGAAGTTTGCCACCTATCAATCAATCGACTGTCATTCCACACTCCAGAGACGAAATTCCGTCGCCCGTTCCGGCTTCCGTGCTGTTTCCTCCGATTTCCAATCGCTTTAGATAAGGTTTTTCTATTCTTCCCATCTCCTCATTTATTTTTCAAATATAAACTAAGATAATAGGTCAGTATACGCTATCCGGCGCCCAGAGGTTGCGAATCACATAATATTAGGTACATATACTGCCGTTTGTTTTTCTTTATTATATCCATATAATAAAAGATATTAATTATTTATATACTCATTAAATGACAATCCTAGGYCATACTATGTACTAAACATTTGTGCAAAAAATTAATAATTTGTATTGGGTAAATATAGCCTCTTTGTGATCTGTGTCAAAATAAAAAAAGTTACGTTTTTATCGAAAGCCCTTAATCCTTACGAACCAAATTTATCTTCGTATAGCTGCGTTAACTATTCAGTATAGGTATCTACTTATATTAATCTATGGTGTAAATAACTTACATTTTAAAGAAATAATGGTTTGATACCTAATAATTAATTTTTTTTAAAGTACATGCATTGATGCATTGTACTACTGCTCGTATAATTAAAAAATGAATATTGTATGACTAAAATATTTGATTAAAAATAATAAATAAGCAACTATCTAACAAGAAAATCAATTTTTTCAATATAAAATAATAAATAATTTTATAACTATTAAATACCTAATTATGATTTTATGAATTAGAA